CTGATTAAGCAGCTTGTCAACTAGTGGTTGACAATATATAATTCAAGGATGCATATAATTCAAGGATCCATATAAAATCCATATATATGACAATATATAATTCAAGGATCCATATAATTTCAAGGATGCATATTTTCTAAGTGCTTGCATCCCTCATCTGAATGAAGCTTATTTCTATTTCTGAAAAGCAAAACAAAGCCTGTTCAGGAACACATGACACCAAAGCCTTTGGCAAGCCAGCACATGAGGGAGAATGCCCTTCAGTGTCTCTGACCCACCACATCAGAGTTCCACACCCGGGCATAGTGACTGTGTGTTCTGAAATGTATGGCATTTCAAGTGTTCTGTTTATTTGTCATATGCTTTCTCTCCTTCAATTGATCTGCAGCCCCAGCTTCTGTAAGGCAAAGAGCTAATGCTTAGGAAATTATGTGGATCTCATAAAAAAAACTACCAGCAGCATCATGGCAGCAGGTTACATATTTCAGACCTAGTTCTCAGGACTAATAACCCATAAAGTTCAGGTAGGCTGGTTCCGCCTTTTTCCAACCTACATGAACTTTTATATAACTTTTCTCAAGCACTTCTTAGTTCACTCTCCCATTTCTGTCACTATAAAAATCCACATACCATCAAATAATAAGAACCACTTCCCAGAAAAAGAGAGAAGCTTTCAAAATGGTATCATCTACGGTACTGCCAGCTGGAAAACTGGAGCTTCATGTGTTCAGAAATCCCTGGTTTACCCAAATCCTGCTGCATTGGGCAGGTAAACATATATCCTATGACCTTCTCTTATTTGCATCCTAAACTCAAGGGGACTGTGCTAAGACATAGGAAGGGAAAAGTGATTCTCTGACAATCCCTTCTTTTTATTTCTGATAACCCCTTCTTTTTATATTAGAGAAGGCTAGTCTTTATCACAAATATTCCATATAAGACCTAGTGAGGAAGGGAGGAAGGGAGGGAGGGAAGGAGGGTGGGAAGAGAGGACAGGAAGGAAGGAAAGGAAAGAAGACAGCTTCTACTCAAGATATTAAAAGGTAGAATAAAATATTTAGTTAATGCAAAATTACAACTTGAATGAGATATCTAAATTCTATCTGAATAGCCTCCCTTTAAACTTGTCATTTTGCCGTTCTTTTATTAGAATACACGTCTTAGTTTTTGACTCAGAAAAAAGTGGTTCTTAAATACCTTATTATTAAATAAGGTGCCTTACAAAGGTCCACAGAAACTGGGAAGTCACATGGCATCTGAACTTATGAAAAGTTCAGTTACTTGCAATCCTAATGCTTGCTTACCCAGCTGTGATCCCTAGGCAGGACAGGAAGTTTCTGTTCAAAAATAATAGAAGGGAATAAATTGATCACTATTTTTCTTAGCTCTAAACACCAGAAATTTCTAAGTCACTGTATTCACACAATTTTTCTAACACTGAAATATCCATTTAATACAATATCAATGCTATATTTTGTCATTCAACCAAAATACACTTTTATTTATCCTCCCCAAAAGCTATGCTTATAATGTACTCATTCAATTAACAGTCTTTAAGCCTTCTCTGTGCAAGCACTGTGTCAGGACACGATTTCAGACCTCAAGCATTTATAGCTTAGTGTGAAAGTCAAACTAGAAGATCAAAGGTTACAGTACAGCATGATAGGTATTATGATAGAGGAAGCCAAAAAGAAGGATATTTAATTAAACTAGATTGAGGACACTTTCCAAATCAAGTGAGACTAAGTTATATTTCAAAGAGTGAGTAGGAATCAGACTATGCAGGGAGAAGAGTATCAAATGAGCAAATGGAAAATAGCAGTGCATGAGTTTGCTAGGGTTTCCATAACAAAGTATTACGATACTGGTGGCTTAAAGAACGGAAATTTACTCTCGTATAGTTCTGGAGGCTAGAAGTCCAAAATCAAGGTGTCTTCAGGGTTGGTTCCTTCTGAGGGTCATGTGAGAAATATCTGTTCCAGGCTTCTCTTTCTGGCCTGCAGACTCCATCTTCATTGTGCATGTCTTCATACCCTCTCCCTTGTATGCATGCTTCTGTGTCCCGATTTCCCCTTTTTATAAAGACATCTTTCATAATGAATTTGAACCCACCTAGGAGCCTCATTTTAACTTATTTCCTCTGTAAAGATGCTACCTCTGAATAGGGTCACATTCTGAGGTGCCAGGGGTTAGGGCTTCCACACAAATTTTGAGAAGTGTGGGTCTCGACCCATGACAAGCATTAAGTTCTCCTTTCAGGATGGTGGAGTAAAGATATTCCTGTTCCATTCTCCCCAAAATTACCCGAAACAGAGCAGAAAATGAAATATACACAAGCTCTATCTTCAAAAACCAAGAGATCCATATTCACAGAGGAAAATCTACGAAGACAGAGTAGATAAAGAAACAGTAAGTGACTTAGAGAGGAAAAGAGCAAACCTGAAGACTTGCTGGAAGGGGCCAGAGGACACCCACGGGGAGCCAGTTCTCTCCACAGAGCAACATGAGGGCCCAAGAAATGGAGGCATCAGCTGTTGAGGAAGACAGCTGGGTAACAGGCAGGTAAAAGAAAGGAGTTACTAGACAGCCTCAGTAGAAGTCCTTCACCCCCATATACCTGCTCCTGCCTTGAAAATGCCGGTGCTAATTCACCCAACACCAATAGGAAATGAAAAGTGTATTTTCTGGAGAAACTAAACTGGGCATACATGTAAAGACAGCAGCAGTGGACAAATGCCAGGCAGAGAATGAAATGACTCTATAAAGTACTGCATACTGACCAGTGAGCCTCTGAGTCCCTCTCTTTGGAGTTTTCTTCTGCTTCCTGTACTGTTTCTTCTGAGAGATAAGAAATTTTATATATATATATATATATATATATATAGTAATAAAGAAAAAAGAAGGAGTTTGGAGAATTTTTTAAAAAATCTCCCCTTCTTCCCCCAAAAAAACCCAAATCAGTAAAATATTTAGAAGATAAAGTTAAGAAAATATGCCAAAATATAGAAAAAAGATAGTCAAAGATAACTTACAGGAGAAAATCTCTAAAGTTAGAAGATAAACCCAGGAGGTCTACAATTTGAATAATAGAAATTCCAAAAAGAGAAAATGAAGGGATGTAAATCAAACAGATAACACAAGAAAATCATCTAGAACTAGAGATGAATTTCTAGATTGAAAATCAATTTAAGAAAGACTTTCACACTAACTCACATCATTACAGAATGCCAGAAAAAGAAAAGATGATATTAAAGTATTTTCAGGGGAAAGAGAGAAAATCCCCCACATAAAGCCTGAAATTCACATGGCCTTGGATTTCTCAGGAACCAGTACCCAAAGTTAGAAGAGCAATGCCTCAAAATTCTGGAGGAAAAATATGTCCAGTTTGGAATAGTCATCAATAAAAACGCAAGCAAAGTGTGAGAGCTGAATAAAGATAGTTTCAGACATGGAAGGACCTGAACATGTTTACCTTCCATGTGTCTTCTCTTGGGAAGCTACTAAGTAGTATGCTCCACCAAAACAAAGAAATAAAGCAAGAAAATAGAAGAAATGAGGCCCGGAAATCAGAGAACCCAACTTAGGAAAGCAATAAAAGCAATTCCCAAGATAACTTTAAAACAGTGATTCTCAACCTTGGCTGCACATTAGAATCACCCGGGGAGCTTTTTGAAACCCTGAAGCCCAGGCCACAATACAGCAGGCTCTCTGGAGGTGTAACCCAGGTGTCTGTGATTTTTAAAGCTCCCTAGGTGAATCCAGTGTGCAGAGGAGGCTGAGAACTATTGTGTTAAAGGAAAGTCCCAGAACAACGGCTGTGCACCAGGCCTACAAACACCCAGGACAGGTTAAAGCAGGAAGAAAGAGGGATCCAGGAGGGAGAGGAAAAAAAAAAAAAAATCGACAGGTTATCTGACAGGTGTAAGTTGGAGAATTGTTTAGAAATCTGCATCAAGAGGCGTTTTGTAGAACAGTCACAAAAGCTGTCAGAAGACCATCAAATGTTCAAAGGAAACTAAGAAAACGCTAAAATAAAATATGTTCAAAGAGTTTTACAGGAAGATATAACCACAGTATACCAACTGGCTTGGCAGTGAGAAAATGTTTATATAGTCATAAAAGGGAAAGCTCAAATTACTGAATAACTATAAGAATGAGAGGAAGAAATGAGTTAATAAGGTCTAAAATTGATTAGTCAAGACATATCAACACATATTAACAGATATTCAGAGCTAAGAAAAGAAACAGGTGGTGGGTTGCATAATGGCCCCCCAAAGATGTCCCAATCCCTGGAATCTGTGAATGTTTATATGACAAAAGGGACTTTCCAGAAATTAAGGATCTTGAAATGAAGAGATTAGCCTGGATGGTCCAGGTGGGCCCATTGTAATCACAAGGGTCATTATAAGAGGAAACCAAGAAGGTCAGGGAGGGTGCAGAAGGTTGGGTGAGATGGAAGCTAAATTGGAGCAATGCAGCCATGTGCCAAGGGTTTGGGGGGACAGGGGACAGATGCCCCCTGGAGCCTCCAAAAGGAACCATCCCTGTTGATAACCTCATTTTAGCATTTTAAAACTCATTTTTATTTCTGATCTCCGGAAGTGTAAGAGAATAAATGTTTGTTCTATTAGGTCACTACATTTGTGGTAATTTGTTACAGCAGCAATGGGAAATGCTAAGTGTTCCAAGTGTTGGGGTGGAAGTGGAATTCAAGTGGAGCAAAGGGACATATAGTAAGTATTTTATTTGACTTCGTAATGAATGAGCATGTGACACGTAGATAAAAATTACAATAACCAACCCGCACTGAGTGCTCACAGTAGTGTGAGAGAGGACAGCTGGAGAGGCACGAGCTAGAGAGCTCGGCCCCTCAGACATCAACATGCACACACATCTCCCATGGATTGTGTTAAATGCAAGCTCTGATTCAGGAGGCCTGCAGTGGGGCCTGAGATTGGTCTGCATTGAAATCTTTGCTCCTGATTTCAAAAGCTTTGCTTCCCCTTGCCTTGCTTGCAAAAGCTTTGCTTCCCCTTACCCCTTTGCAGAAGCAAAGATTTAGACTCGAGGCCAGTCCTGCAGACCCTAGAGGACTAAAAAGGGGCCATTGTAAAGAAAGAGACAGAATCTAGAATTGAAGGAGAGAGGGAGGGACAGAGAGAGGAAAGAGCTTTGTGCCTAAGCTAAGACATTTTGATTTTATCCTTGAAGATATGGGGGACCACTGAATGATTTGGGGAAGTGAAACACCAGGATGAGATTTTTTCACATCGTTATTCTTTGTTGAGGAAGTAGAGGCGTAAGGCCGGGTGCGGTGGCTTGCACCTGTAATCCCAGCACTTTGGGAGGCCAAGGTGGGTGGATCATTTCAGCCCAGGAGTTTGAGATCACCCTGTGCAATGTGGCAAAACCCTGTCTCTACAAAGACTACAAAAGTTAGCAGGGCATGGGGGTGCATGCCTGTGGTCCCGGCTACTCAGGAGGCTGAGGTGGCAGGATGGCTTGAGCCTGGGAGGTGGAGGTTGCAGTGAGCCAGATCACGCTACTGCACTCCAGCCTGGGTGACAGAGTGAGACCCTGTCTACAAAAATTTAAAAAATAAAAGATAAAAAAAAGTGGGGGCATAAAACCAGAGACTAGAAACCATTTCGCATTTAACTAGAAAT